GTGTTTTAACCCTTTCCTACTCAAAAAAAAAAAAAAACTTGTCACATTAAGGATTCCTTTAAAAATATATCTAAACTCGAGTTAAAAATTAATTTGAGGAGTTAAAAATTAATTTGAGTACCATAACTTAACAAAATGTAGCTAATTTGTGCATCACTTTTGTTCCCCATGGCCCCTGTGTGTTGTAAAGTAGCCACCACTCCAAGCTCGGTGATGGACTACAATCTCAGGTTTATGTCACTAATTTGTATTGAGATTGTAGTCCATCCCAGGAGTGAGCTTGGAGTGGTGGCTACTTCACAGCACACACAGGGACCATGGGGAACAAAAGTAGCCTCCAGAAGGAAGGATAGTGTCCGCTCCAATTCAGAGATTATTTGAGGATCTATAGCTGAGTGATACACGGATAAGATACATTTTTGTTAATAGTTAAAGGTACTTGAATGCATTTTTAAGATTTAACGCCAGAGTTTAGTGTAACTTTAAGACCCTTCGCTGCTACTGCTCAGACATGCAAAAAAGTGCTGCATTCATAATATTTGTACATCAAGCTGCCTCTCCCAATATTTTTTATTTATATTTCCATAGGTACATCTGCTACAAAATGCAAACCATTTAGGAATAAAGAGTTGAGAACACAGATTTATTTATACAGATTTATTTCTGTTAATGTACAAAGAAAATTTGGATCCTCCCATTAGACCCTGCAAAAAAAGAATATGCATTAATTCTTACAAATCCACAAACTTCATCCTGAAATGAGAACTTAAGTCAATATATTAAATTCCTTAAGGGCTAGTTCACACCATAACGGCACTAGAACCGTGTGCGTCTGTGCAGCTGCAGTGCTATGTGTTTTACTGCAATTTAATTTTTTTTAAGCTTAAAATGGGCTTTCAGGTGCAGTCCAGTGAGTTGGAGTGCATTTGCATGTGTTTTGATGCAATAAGGTGCTGCTAAAATGTGGAAAGCAGAATTCTTTCTGACTGCATCAGAACTTACTGCACTGGTGTGAACAGAGCATCAGAAATCCCATTGGAAAGTATTGGCGCGATTTTAAGGCAGCTGCCAAACTGAACGGACTGCATCACAACTGCATCTGGTGTGAACTAGGCCTAAAAATAAGCAGCCATATATATTTAATTTATGATCATGGTTCCCATTATGCTAGCTGATACTGTGCTGCATGATATTATACCACAGCTTAGAATGTGGCTGCATGATATACAATTGTTGAATTGAAGCATTAGTTTGCTGAGACACTCACAAAATGATTACATTTATCCAAAAAGGTAGAAAAACCTCCAGTCCCGTTAGTCTAAGGATAAGCTACCTTGCAACAGTAACTACTTCAAGCATCCCAATGCGCAGTATTAGAAACTTCCTCACCACTAACTAGTGTGTGCCCTGTCTCAGCCTACACAAGGCCTTAAACATTACAAAGCTCATGAAAAGTTCTGTATCACGGGGACGGTTCTCAAATATACACAGTTAGCGCAGAATATTTAAAAGTCCTGCTTGGGGAATGTTTGGGGCAGATTTCAGCAAGTGCCCCTTGGGGATGAATGGCTTTGCCTTCAAGATACACTAATCCTGTTTGTTATGCACTTTTTTTGCATGAAAGTGGAAAAAACACACCAACACAACATGCATGAAAGTGAGATTGGGCATACAAAAAAATAATTAAGTCAGGATATCGGAGCGGCCATTGCTGCTCTTGAAAGCACATACTCCTGGGATATCACCCTTATTCACCTCACTACTTGGTGAGAAACTGAACAAGCAGGTGGTCAGGAGTCAGGAATGGCAGCTTCCAGATTTCTATTGGCTGGTTTATTTCTCAGCTGTGGAGTGCCTCATTGCAAAAAAAGAACCATAAAAAAAAGGTAAAGCTAAACTCTGGGCACAAAAACTCAATTCTATGCCTCAATAGCCACACAAGATATAAATACACTGTGTGCAATAAATACCTTTGCAAACCCAGATATTCACTTTTAACAGCAACAGTGATATTGTGTTGTGCAGTGGGCAGGGACCAGATACAAGACCGGGGGCAGCCATGTCTGTTCCTAATACAGGAAGCTCTGGCACAGAGGCAAAGTTTCACACTGGATTACTGCACAGATCTATAGTAAATACACAAAGCACATCAATGGCTCTTGTATTTAGACAATATGTGCTTATTCCACAATTCAGCTTTAAACTGGATGATTCTCTGGGAAATGGCTGTATCTGCTGTTTACTTCCATGTGAGAAGTGATTGTTTTACCTTTCCCTATATTCATTTAAAACAGTCTGTGCTTTGTCCTGCATAGGCAGGGCACAGGTTCACTTTAAGGTCCCATTCACATCTCTGCATTCAAAGCAGAACTCGAGCCAAACCTTTGACATGGATGAGGAAAAGAGCCTCTATAAAGAATTGTATGTGTATGGTGTACGGAAAATATATTTGTTGAAGTGTTTTCTTTAGGTAAATATTTCAGATTTACATTGTCCCCCAGTGAGCGGAGCTCTAAGTTCCTTTATTGACAAAAGCTTGCTCACAGAGCTATAATTCAAGCTCAAAAACGCACAACTGGGCTAAACATTTAAGAAAGCAAAACAGATTTGGGCCTTAAGAGTAAAAGTGTAATACCAAGCCAAGTACTTCGGGTGCCTTCTGAGCAGTCATAACTGATCAAATTATCATGTTTAGTGAAACATTATCTCACTGTTTTTTTCCATATTAAAGCCAAACCCTTGTCAGGTATTTTATTGTAGTCTCTGGCCCCATTGGGAGTGTTCCCATTACTTGTGTCTGCTCGTTCCCCCGACTCCCAGGGTGTCACCAGGACATGAAGGCACTCCCAGTGGGGACATCAACAAATTTGACACTTTCCTTAGCCTGCAGATTTAAAGTCTTGGCTTTAAACAGACACTACTTACGTTTCCTCAGTTCCTGCAGGTGCATCACCACCCTTTGTGTTTCTGGTATAGATGACCTGGGCTCTGTGCTTGGACACTAATTTAATCAGACCTTAGAAGAGAAAAAAAGACAGTTATATAAACAACTGAGCGCACTTTATCTCATCTGAAGGATTATACACCTATTCCAAAGCTAACAAAGAAAAGCAAGCAGCTCACCAACAATGTTCAGCAAAATGTGTGGAGGGTGTTAATTCCTAAATGTGGGAATTGTTATGACAGCGGTGGGTTTGGCCGAAAGAGACTTACTACCTCACTTGATGTAAAAGTAAGGGTCAGAGAAGTAACATCACAATGTTATATATGGACCAGGAGGATCTGAATATGGGAAATGCTGCAGAAAGTCTAACATTAACCTGTTGGTTTACTCTACATGCCTGATATGTTCTGTTATTTAATAGGTCATTACCACAACGCAGGCCGATGCTTACCTTTGTTGAGCAGCTCCTGGAGGGCAGCCCTGGCCAGTGAGCCTCTGATCTTCAGCCTCTCAGATACCACCGCTGGGGTAATAAGTTTGTAGTTGGGTACTTCTTTACACAGCTTGTCATAAGTGGCTTTGTCAAACAGCACAAGATTGTTCAGCTTGTCCCTCACTTTTCCTTTGGACCACTTCTACTTAGAGAAAAAACAAAATTGGTCATACGTAGTTTTATCTTACATGCAGCCCTAACTCACTAAAGGAGTTTCTTTACTATTCACTTTTATCATAAAAGTATTAAACTACAGTCTATTCTGACCATCAGACCCACAAACACCCAAAAATGATGAACAAAATGCCCAAAACAGTGTCTGATATTTTAGTTCACAGCTTAAAGTGGCCCTGTCACTATAAGGTGACAATCTGAGATGAAAGGACTATTAAAGTTTGAAACATCCAGATACAAGTTTAGTCCCAATTAAGAAAACATGCATTCTCTCATTCTTTATCACACTTTAATCTCATTTTAGAATACATTTGTGTCTCCAAGTTTAAATGTTATTTTGTTGTGCTTCAATCTCAGATTCTGTCAATTAAAGTCCAAGAAGAGGATGGAAATCCTCATGGGGTGGAGAATCTGCCAGTCCATAATCCAGATAGCCAATCCAAATATCACTGTAACCCTTATATTATAGTAACTCTAAGGTCTCAGCGTTTCCATTCTACTTTTACAACTGCCGGATGTACAAGCCAGTGGGAGGAACCACAGAGCTCAGCGAAGGGAGCAGGTATTTGAACCATCTGAAGTACTAAATACCTGCGCTGGCCAGGAGAACAGCAAAGCTGTGGCAACATGCAGGCTGCGGGAAAGAACTATATTGCCTCTTTACAGGGTGTGTAATGTGTGTGGTGGAAGGGTCTGTTTAGGCTGAGCCTTGTCTGGGTCTAAAAAGTATCTAAGCTAATACCGCTAAAGCCCAGGCACCTGCTTAACCTTCAAAATGAGATCACAGGGGCCTAGATCCCATCCGCCACATGCCGATGTTCTGGCACTGAACTCCCTCCTGTACACAGTCATACTATGTACCAACTCTTATTGGCAGGTCTCTGCCCATTCTGTGTATCCATGGACAAATGAACTGCCATTTCTTACCTTCTTCTTGGCCTTGCCTCCGGACTTATTGACTGGGTCCTTATCCTTCTTGGCAGACTTGCCGGCATCCTTCTTTTTCTTGTCGTCTTTAGGAGGCTGGATAAGAGAACAATAAAATGTAAAAGTCTGTACTGAAAGTAAGACTTCAGAGGTTCGGAATTTCTAAATGACTGGCTCGCACAGCAATCAAAAGTCCTACCACTGTTCTCTTCATAAAAGAAAAAGGGATTACCATTCCCCAAGCCAACCAACATCTATGTTATGCTCAAATATGATGGTAGATGTAGGGGAGTATCCCAAACCTAAGGAGCATCAGCAAGTGTTTATCATGGCCCAAATGTTGCATACATGCAACAGTTCTCATCTGCACCCCTATCAGTGCAAGGCTACTAATCAGATCTGAATGAAAGTTTATCGAAAGACGAACACTTTATTCAATTATGAATTTAGCATAATTTCATGTGACCAGCCTCTTCTCCACAAGGTTACTGCGGTCTAAGGAGCTGTGATATCATCATGCCTAATGCAGCTGAATTAGACATGAGGATTACGAGGGACAATCCACTGCCAAAGCTGTGTGAGAGAGAGTGAGGTGAGCTCCAACCACCGGGGGACTGAGGATCAGGCGAGTATCTTTATTTTAGCCCTAAAACTTAAGGCTACCCACCTTAAGTTTTACATTTAAGCTAAAGCTAACATTTTAGGTTGACACCTGGGGGGGGGGGGATCTTCCAATGGGGACACTTGCTCTGGTGACAACTGAGGAATTCATTCAAATAAAAAAGATATCCCATCACTTCCTGTTGACTCAGGACAGGAAATCTCCCAAAGATAGAAGCGGAAAAAACAAAATGACAGCGGTTTTATCCCTCCTCCTACTCTGCCTAAAATGATTACAGAAAAGTTTTAAAGTCCATGAAAAATGGAAGATCCACTTTCCTCCCGGTCCCAGCTGCCTAAAACACAGGAATGTGCATCTGCCCCCCACACTTCCAGGAGATGTGAAGGTGAATCCCGGGATAGCCAGGCACTGGGAATGCCTATACACCATTGTGGCAGCAGGACATTCTGCGGGAATTTCTAGTGTGGAGATGGCACCTCCTGGAAGCAGCAGAAGCTGGGAACTTGGTCACATCTATGTTTTTATTTATAGCATATTAGATATGCATGCTCAGGGAAGAAACAAGGATCAGCTAAGCTGTCCCAACCTTACATGATAAGGATCAGGAAAGAGGATTTGTTTTATTTGTACACACCAAAGACAAGTCTGTCAGACACAAGGCAAAAACCTGCTAGGCCGAAGCGAGCCAACCGACCATACTGACACGTAATGGGCACATACAGCACTAGAGGAGCCGCACCATCCACCCCAATAACACCCGTGTGTGTGTGTGCGGAGATCCGAGCAACAGAGGGCCCCGTCCCATGATACAGGCGGCACACCGGACCCGGCAGGCTCCCTTTATTCCACCCCCCGCATCTCCAACCTGAGGCCCATATGAGCCAGGGAGAGCTGTGCCAGCCAACCCGAGTCGCACCGGACAACCTCTCCAAACCCCACATCTCCCCTACAGCTCTTTCCCCACACCCCGGAGCCTCACCATGCTGCTGCTGTCTCAAAGATGTCGGACAGAAAGGAAGAAACCCCTCGCAAGCAGCACAAGAAAACCCGTAGAGGGAGGGAACTTCCGCCTGGCAGGAACACGTGCTCTCCTACCAAACTACAATTCCCGTCATGCCTAATGACCGACAGAGACAGGTTGAAGCACAGTCCACCCCCACACTGAACTACAATTCCCGGCATGCCTAGAGACAGCCAATGTTTGTGAGGGGTGAGTTGGTGGTCTCTCATGCATAGAGAGACTACTAGCAAAGCCAGAATGTTAGTAATGATAACTAAATGTGACAGACATACCAGTGAAATTATATCGTTTCTAAAGAAACGCGAATTTTCAGCTTAATATGGTATGCTTAGTATTGTATGCATCACCATCCTTTCCATGAAAAGGAATAAAGCATATTTAAATGCAAAACGTGTTTGTATTCTTCATACTGTGAAGGTGCGACAAGGCCGCTGATATCACTGGATAAGTTTACAAACAGCGCCATTCTACAGACTTCAGCTCTGTGTATGGAAGCGGAACTACATTTCCCATCATCCCCGGGGCGGCTGACGTCACAACGTGAGTCAGGTGACACCGAGCCACCAGGAAGATGGCGATCTTCAGTGTGTATGTGGTGAATAAGGCTGGAGGACTCATTTATCAGCTGGATAACCAGACCCCCCGCTCCGAGACCGAGAAGACTTTCAGCTATCCTCTGGACTTCGTCCTGAAAGTACATGACGAGCGGGTGTTGGTGTCCTTTGGCCAGCGGGACAGTATACGAGGTGATCCGGGCGGTGTAATGACAGCACAGAGGCTGCTCACTATAGTGATAATCTGACAGCGTGTGGTGCTCGGCACTGATCCCTGCACATTGCACTGTGTACTTTTTTTTTGTTAGAACTTTATTGAAATGTCAGGTGACATTTTATTCAGATCTAGGGGCACAGTGGGTTGTGAGGTGGTTGTACCGTGTCTCATTCCCCTACGTTGAGGCCAGGTGCACACTTGTGTGATCATGTGCGGTTGCCGCGCAGCCCCATTGATTTCAATTGGGTTATATCCGCGTGGCAATCGACTGAAAAAAAGGTACATGTGCACCGTGTGTTTTTTTTTTCCCAGCTAAGATAGCACGGGCGGAATCTTGCACTGGCGCGACTGGGTGCCTTAGAAAATAATGGCACGGCCAGCGCGATCAGCGGTGGTGTACCATTCCATGACCTCGTGGCCATCCAATGAGTACAGCGAGTAAATAGAAACCTAACATGCTCAGGTTAAAAATTGTGTGCGTCCGTGAAACTGCAACATAATTCAGTACCCAAAAAAGCCCATAGATGACACTTTAAAAGCCCCTACAGGTCATCAGTTTAGAGATACGTGTAAATATTGGCCCTAGAATTATTGCTCTCACTCTGACGTGTGCGGCAATACCCGACGTGTAGCGCGATCGTCGTTGGCGTACCTAGGCGCACCCGACGTGTGTTTACGTGATGACTCGCGGGGGGACCTAAACTATTTTTACATTTAATTTATTAAGTATTATTTTTTTGAACTTCTTTTTTTTGTAGTTGCTATCACGGGGGGGGGGGGCTTACAAGCCCCCCATGGGATAGCATAGTGG